ACCTAATACTATAAAATATATTCTAAGTAGTTGAATTACTGCACCTTAGGGCATTTATTTCATTCCTATAAACAATGAAGCATCAAGTCTTTTGTAGTTCAGGTACCAATTTATTCTTCCCCCAGCAGTATGTGAAAATCCCCATTGCTCCAAATACTTAACAATTGGTATAATCAGTTTCCAGACTTCTAGCAATTCTGTGAATGTGTACTATCTTACTACATTTTTTTGTTGTTGTTATTACATTTTAAAAACAAAACACCAATATAGAAAGCCCCACAAAACAAATATGTAGCTTAATATATTAAATCAAAGAACTTATATCCACCATTCAGGTCAAAAAATAGAACCTCCCAAAGAAAGCTAGTCATTGCCTAGACTTTACCATATAATTTTATAATAATTTTCATGTATTTCTTTATGGTTTTATCACCCAAGAGAACATCATGGATACTAGAATTAATCACACACATTTAAAAATGTTTTATAAATCTTTTAAATATAGAAAATGTAAGAAAATGGTTAAAGACTCAACCATTTGTTGAGAGGCTCCTTTTCCATTTGTTTCTTTAACAAATTTATCTGTCATTAAGCCTAGACTATTTGACCTATATTTTCCAGAGTCCAGAAAAGTGTTTACCAGCCTTTTAAAAAAAATATATCATTTACCTCTTGCAGAGCCCAATTAGACATTTTTTTCCCATAATTGCCTCCTACCCCCTCATACTCACTCAATAATAAGGAATAAGTTTTCTTTATCCTCTGTTCCAAAACAGCTGCTGGGTCCAAACCAGGCTCAGGTTTGGTCCTTTAATGAAACCCTAGGAAGTGTTTTTTGATTAGAAGGTACTCAGTATCTTGTCTTTGTGATGTTACCAGTCAATAATATTCATTGTCTGCATCCAGTAATTGAGGAATGCAAAAATTTTCATCACTTATTTTACTTAGAATACCTTTTTTTAAAAAAAATCTATTGCTTATCTGTTTGATTACACAGTGATATAATTCATGTAGAAAATGCAAGAAAATTTCAATTTTTTTATTACCAGTTTTAAAGTTAATATCCATTGCCTGTCATCCTTTAAAAACATTTTGAGCGCTGGGGATATAGCTCAGTTGATAGAATGCTTGCCTGGCACACACAAGGCCCTGGGTTCAATCCCTAGCATGCATCAATGAATGAATGAATGAATCAATCAATCTCTCATTTATACATATTCTTGAATTTTATGCCAAATCAGTAAATTATCCTACTGAAGGTCAAGATGTTCTATTTCAGTCCACTGGTAACCTCTGGACTTTTTTTCCTAGTTTCTGCAGAACCCACTTACTATAAGTAGCTTTTGGTAGCTGCTTTGATACCTAAGATGATATGTTGTTCCAGCCCATTCTGTATAGTTCCTGCCCTAGACCTGAAATCAGTAACTTCTCTGTTTTCTTTAATAGGAAGTACTTCACAATTTTTGGTTCATAGTCATTTCTGTGTTCCTGTCAAGTAACTATAACATCTGAGCCATGTATAAGTTGATTTCTGTTTCTGGTCTTTCCCTTATACTTAGTTTTCTTTTGTTCCTTTTAGGAGTGTGTGTGTGTGTGTAAGCTTTGTATGGAAGTGTACACTCCTTTTTTTAAAAAAAAAATCAGATCTTGGACATTATGGGTGATAAATTGTAGGGGGTCCAAATCTCTACTTAGCTCTTAGCATCTCTGTTGCTATTTTATTTGGAGTCTAGTCCTGAATGTATGCAGCAGAGGCTAACAACTTGAAGGGGTGTTGCTATGTAGATTTGGGAGGACTCTCTTCACTCTGGATTCCTCCTTGATGGGATTTTTGTCCCTTAAATCTGAGCTACTTTGATATCCCAGACTCAGACCTTCGCATTGAAACTGCTGCTCCTGTTCTGTTCCATTTTCTTTCCCCATGTGATTTAGAAAATGCTTTTGCCAGAAAAACCATCCAGCATGAATGTGTCTTGTCCTCCTGGGCTTCTCATTTTTTCAAGAATCCAAGTTTCTGAAACCCTGCATTCTGGATTTTTAGCTCCTTCAAAGAATTATTTGATATATTCAGAGTTTTATAATGGGTTGTTTTTTGGTTTGGTTTGATTTGGTTTTGTACTTGGAATGAACTCAGGGGTGCTCTACTATGAACTGCATCTTCATTCTTTTTTATTTTTAATTTGAGGTAGAGTCTTACTGGGTTTCCAGAGCTGGTCTTGATCATGCAGTTCTCCTGTCTCCAGCCTCCTGAAGTCACTAGAATTACAGATGTTTATTATACCCAGCTTTATAGTGGTTTTGTATAAAAGGGCAAAAAGTTGGTCTAATACGTGCTATTTTGTCATGGCTAAAACCAAAGTCTGTGTAAAATAAGGTTAATAATATTGCAGGTCTCATGGGATTGTGGGAATTATCAATGAGTGATGTATGTAAAGTGCTTAGAAAAGTATCTCATGGCATCCTCACTTTAGCTTGTAATTTATTTATTTATTTTTTTACTTTTGTTAGCCTCTTGAACAAGACCACAGGTATTTTCTTCATTCAATTCTCTGGTATCTATCATTCCCTCAGTATATATACATTCCCTTCATAATTGTATAGAATTTTAGTTTTGCTCTTTAAAACAACTTTTAAGGGCTGGGGCTCAGAGGTAGAGCACTCACCTAGCACTTGCAAGGCCCTGGGTTCGATCCTCAGCATCACATAAAAATAAATAAATAAAACAAAATTTTAAAGTTGTGCAGCAATTATTAGTTTCCTAAAATTAGGTACACATGGATTCAACCCCTGGTATCACAATAGTTATCGTCACCATATTGGTCATCCCTTTTTAAAATGTCCTTTTATATCATTCCTCTTGATCTCTTTTTTGAAATTTCCATCAAACCTGTGTTAGAATGCTTTAATCTCTTATGAATCTTAATCTCTCCTAAACATTTTTTTATTGAGGTCTAACTGATACATAGTGAAATAGGCAGAGATTAAGGGAAGAGTTTGGTCCATTTTTTTCCCCAAGTTTGATCCGTTTTGACTGATGGTTACACCTGTTTAATCCACAACTTCATTCAGCTCTAGGAAATTCCCGTAGCTCCTAAAAGTTTCCTCATGCTCTTCTGGTCATTCCTCCGTTCACAGAGCAACCTTTGATTTCAATCATTACAAATTAAATTTTCCTCTTGTAGAACTTCAGGCAAATGGAATGTTGGATTGGAGATATAGGTCATTGGTAGAGCGCTTGCCTAGCATGTGCAAGTCACTAGGTTTTATCTTTAATGCCAGAAAGAAAGGGTTGGAAGAGAGTATTAACTGTGTTCTCTATTGTTTAGCTTTTTTGGTTAAGCATAGTGTTTCTGAGATTAATCCATGTTGCATATATTGAGTTAATTCCTTTTGTTTTCTTCTCAGTCTTCATTGTATAAGCATCTACCAGTTGTTTATTCATTCTTCTGTTTATTGATGAGTACATGAGCTACATCCAATTATTGGCTATGATGAAAAAAGCAACTATAAACATTGTTATACAAGTATTTTTTAGTTTTTCTTGGATTGATACTTAGAGAAGTTGTTAGATCATTGATATTTTTATAGGTTTAGATGCATATTTAACTTTTTTAAACTATCAGTTTTCAGAATGGTACCATTTTATATTTTAATCATTGCATTGGGCTTTAAAGCCCAATTTAAAGTAGTATCTTTTGTATATTTTTAGAATCCTTGTTTTTATTCTTTTCATATTAGGGATTGAACCCAAGAATATGCTACCTCTGAACTGCATCTCAGCCCTTTTTAAAATTTTGATATGGGGTCTGGCTAAGTTGCCTGAACTGCCCTTGAACTCCTAATCCTCTTGCCTCAGCCTCCTGAGTAACTGGGTTGTAGGCGTGTACTACTGTACCTGGCTTTTGTTTTATTTTTTAAAAGCCTTTATTAATATAGCTAAAATAAAATCTATTCATTTTAGTATAGTTCAATGAGTTTTGATAAGCGCATGTATCCAGTGACTATCCTTACAATCAGTAAAGTATGTCTTTACCCCAAAAGTTTTCCTTGTGCCACTTCCCAGTTAGTGACCACCCCATTTCTCCCATATGAGTCCATATCCCATGTACTTCTCCATGTTTCTCGGCTCTGAATCTAGTAACTGTGCAGATTTAGCCTCTTCCCTAACTTCTGGGATTCTGTTACATTGCTGGTCTATGGATACATGATATCTTGGCTTTAATATCACTATAAAAAGGAAAGGTGGGAAGAATTTTTTAAAAAATACAGAAAATTGTTATCCAAATCTAGTGTCTGGATTTAACAAATGTTCAAGTTTTACGTTGTTTGCTTCAAATATCTGTAAAAGAGGGAGATATTATGTGTAACTGGAGTTCAAGTCTTAGTTCCTTTTCAGTTCCCTTTCTCAGAAATGGTCACTTTCCTGAAGTTGGTGAGTTCATTCCCATGCATAGTGTATTTTTAAATATTTAAATGTAATGTATTTTAAATTTCTATATAAAGTTACATAATTATCAGTTATTTTCACTTAAAATTGTTTTTTAATTTAACTATATTGCATCCTTATATGAATTTTGTTTACCCATTCCTCTACTAGTGTAATTTCCTGTTGTCTTTATTACTACGTGTGTTTCCCATTTCTCACATACTTGCCATTTTTTCCAGGTTAGTGGTTTGGAAACATAACTCATTTTCTGATTTGCCTTCCTCTGATTACTAGTGAAGCTGAGTATCTTTTCATCTGTGTGTGTGTGTGTGTGTGTGTGTGTGTGTGAATTGCCTCTTTATATTTTTAACCCATCTTCATTAGGGTATTTGTATCCAGATATAGATTATCAGCACTTTGCCTCTTTAATATAGATATTAAAAATTTTTATTGTCACATGTTTTGAGTTTGTGTTGTTGTAGCAACATATGCTTTGAATTCTGCTTTAACCAGATATGTGGAAAGAGTTTTAATACTCTCCCATTCTTAATGCTCCTCTTTTCTTTTTTTCTAGCCACAACTTGGAACAGGTGTTTGGCATGTTTAGATACTAGGAAACACTTATGTTTACGTCTGCATTTGAAAATGGCAGAAGGAAACAACAATGAAGAAGTAATTCACTTGAACAACTTTCACTGCCACCGGAGACAAGGTAAGTTGTTTGTTCTTGGCAGTGTCTTTCAAATTAGCTTATTCTATACCACTTAGAATCTAGAGATATTCTTTTTTTTTTTTTTTGCTATTTTTAATTTGTTATATATTGACAGCAGAATGCATTGCAATTTATATTACACATATATAGAGCACAATTTTTCATATCTCTGGTTGTACACAAAGTTAGAGTTGGTGTATTCTATTTTTAGACCTCAGAACATCAGGCTTAAAAGGACTTGTCACTAAAATTGTGTCAGATGATGATACCTGCTGGAATGAATGAAGTTCAAGAATCATCATCACACTGGGTAAAATCTCATGCCTAGAATCTCAGCTAGTTGGCTGAGGCAGGAGAATTGCAGGTTCAAGGCCAGCCTGGTCAAGTTAATGAGACCCTGTCTCAAAATAAAAAAATTAAAAGAGCTGAAAATGTGAATTAATGGTAACGCACCATTGGATTCAGTGCCACTACCACCAAAAAGAGAGAAAGAGAAAAAAAAGAATTACCCATCACAATAGATTAATACCCTATTAATTAGCTAGCCAAAAAGCTGTGAATGTGCAGTCAATAAGTCTGAAGAGGTGAGATTTTAGGACAGTGTCAGTTCTTTGTTTTTGAAGGAATGATAATTGTGCAGGAGTACTCCTAGGAGCTTAGTCAGAGGAAATATAAAGCTTCAGCTTGGTGAATATTGCCATTTGCTCACCAGAATATCTGTCCCAAGTTTCCCTCTACTCCAACATGTATAAGATTTTCCATTTCTCAGATACTTGTTATTTTCTAAAAGGAGTGCAATTCTAGGCCTATAGGATTTAAAATACTATAGGCACAACTAAGTAGTCTTTCCCTTTTAAGATAGTTACTTTCTTTTTTTGTCAGAAGATTCTGACTTAGCTTCATTGAGAATTAATTTTAGGATATTTTGTTTGCTTGTTTTATAGTGTTTAAAATCTTTACAAATTCATTTGAAGAGAAGGGTCCTGCATTTCTTTAAAAGTCCTTCCTGTCAAATCCTAATTCATATTTATACCGGCGCTAAAAAGAAAAAAAATCATGCTGATGAGTAGGAAAAGAATCCCTATTTATTTCTTGCAAGTACAAACTTCATAGAAGAGGCTATACTGGTTTTGTTTTCCTCCACTGATATATTTTTGTGCTTATGAAGATGATTTTTTTCCAGCAAGAGAATAAATTATATATATTTGTCTTTTAGAACATTGAACAACTTTTGTTAAGTCAATAAATTGAGTAAAATAAATAAACTCAATGTATACAAATTAAAAGTATAAAAGAAATACTGATTTTTAGAATTTTATTAATAGTGTATTCTAGCTTGGTAGTGATTTTAGCCATAATGCATTGTGATTCAGAAAGTTTTAAATCTTGGTTATAGCTTGTTTATATGATCATTTATAGATTTTCCTCACATGTATATACAATTAATGTTGTTGTTACTTTTTAATTGGGCTTTAAATATACCTAAATACATTTTCTTTATGAAAACTAATTCCTTTTGGAAAATTATTAATTTGGGGAGTATATTTTCAGCTAGACAAGTATATATACTCTATACCCATCACAAGGACTTTTTAAAGACATATAGCATTATTTTTACTAGCTGCATTAATAATTTTCATTATACCAACCTTTGTTGGTTCTTTTAAGAATGAGTTTCAGTGACTTAATAAATGACATACAACATTTCCATCTGAAGAGTCCCTTATGCCTCTTTATAGTCACTCTTCACCCCACTTCTGGCCTCAGGAAACCACTGATATGCTGCTTGTCACTATTTAACTTCATATAAATGGTACCATATAGTACATTCTCTTTATACTAGAATTATTTCGGTTCACATAACATTTTTAAGATTCATTCATGTGTTGTATATATTGATAATTCATCCCACCCTCACCTCACAGTTCTCTCCAGTAATGGGGATCTAAACCAGGTCTCTCACATGCTAGCAAGCACACTAACACTGAACTAATTTTGCAGGCCTCATTCCTTTTTTTTTTAAATATTTATTTTTTAGTTGTAGTTGGGCACAATATCTTTATTTTATTTATTTACTTTTATGTGGTGCTGAGGATCGAACCCAGTGCCCCGTGCATGCCAGACGAGCGCGCTACCGCTTGAGCCACATCCCCAGCCCCCTCATTCCTTTTTAATTGCTAAATAGCATTCTACTTTCTCACCTAAAACTTTCTACCCAGTGTAAATAGGCTTAAAAATGAAGATAAAGGTTGATAGTATAAGTGTAGAAAATATACATCATACAAATAGCAAATAAAAGAGCTAGTTTGTCTGTAGAATTTCAGATAAAGTAGAAATTCCAGGCTAAAGTACTAGTGAAGATAGTACTAAGTTCATAATAATGAAAGGGTTGAAGTATGTGGAAGAAAAAAATAGTTCTAATTCCTGTATACTTAGAAACATATACAAAGAAAAAATTAACAGAACTAAAAAGGGAATTAGACAAACTGACAATCGTAATGGGAGATTTAACATTCCTTTCAATAATTGAGAACGAGCATGCATACACAAACTGTATGAATAGAGAAGATAGGAAGAACATGATCAATAAACTTGACAAATTATGCATATGAAATACTGCATCTGGTATATTGACCAATATTTACCATATTGGGAGCCACATAACCATTTTCAAATTTCAGGGAAATGTCTGAAGCAAGAATATGGCGAGTTCCAGGCCAGCCTGAAATATGTAGCAAGACCTCCGTCTTAAAAACAAAAAAAATTGTTTTCAGGGGATTTAAATCATACACATTATATACTCTAACCACATTGGAATTAAGCCAAAAATCAGTTATAAAAATATTACTAGAAAAACCCTATATGTATGTATAGAAAATAGGAATACACATAGAACTGCTCGTTATAATAGATATCACTAAAAAAGTTAGAAAATAATTTTAGTTGCATGCTAATGAAAACAGATTCTGTTGAAGTTTATGAGATGCATGGAATACCATGTTTTGAAGAAAACTTACCTAAAACATATGTATTAGTTAAGAAATAAAGCTGGAGAATTAATAATATAAACTAGGATTCAGCAAACCTAAACGGTCAAATAATTAATACTTAGCCTTGCAGGCCATGTTGTCTCTGTTGCTACTCAGGGATAACATTTTATCTACTAAAATTGAATATATACTTACTCTGTGATTCTGTGATTCCATTCCTAGAATACACCCAATAGAAACAAACACAGCTGAGATACGTACAAGGACATTCATAATAGCATTATCCAAAGTAGCATAAATTAGCACCAAAACAAATGTCCTTTCAGAGAAGAATAATTTGTGATATGCATATAATAGAATCCATACAACAAAGAGAATTACAACAACATGCAACATGGATGCATCTGAAAGGTGTTATTTGCAAGAAAGCTGGACTCAGAAGAATACAAACACGAAAAAATAATCTGTAGAGCTAGAACCTCCTCCCTTTAGGAATGACAGAGAGTGTAATGCTCGAGAGAGAACAGGGAGGCTACTATCATCCTAGAAATATTTCCTGACTTTGTGACGGTTATACACATATGGGCCTTTTAATTCACAGAACTGAACACTTGGATTGTAGGCTTTGCTCTATTGTGGCTTAATTTTTTAAGATTAGTATTTGTGCACTTATTTATTTACTTATTTATCTTGTGGTGCTGGAATTAAATCCAGAAGCACTTTGCCACTAAGCTATATTCCCATCCCTTTTTATTTATTTATTTTTTGAAACAGGGTCTCACTAAGTTGCTAGCCTGGCTTTGAACTTGTAATCCTCCTGCCTTGGCCTCTGGAGGCACTTGGATTACAAGTATGCACCACCATTCCACGCTTACCCCCAGACCTTTTTATTTTATATTGTAACAGGATCTTGCTAAGTTGTCAGGCTAGACTCAAAACTTTTTAATTCTTGCAAGACACAATAATTCACTCCTGTAATCCAGTGACCTAGGAGGCTAAGGCAGGAGAATCTCAAGTTTAAGGCCAGCCTCAGCCATTTAGCAAGACCCTCAGCAACTCAGTAAGACCCTGTCCCAGAATAAAAATTAAAAGGACACAGGATGGATCTGGGGTTGTGGCTCAGTGGTGGAGCACTTGCCTCACATGTATGAGGCACTGAGTTTGATCCTCTTCACCATATGAAAGTAAATAAATAAAGACAGTGTTTATCTACAACTAAAAAAAAAAAAATTAAAAAAGAAAAAAAGGACTCAGAATGTAGTTCAGTGGTAAAGCGCTCATGGGTTCAATTCCCAGTACCACTCCAAAAGAAAAGAAGAAGAAAAAAACTTGAGGTTTCCTTGCCTCAGTCTCCTGAGGAAGTAGGATTACAGGCATGTACCACTTCACCTGTCTTAAGTGTGTTTTTGTGTGCTTATATGGTGTGGTATTTTGTTTTTACAGTGCTGAAAATTGAATCCAGAGTCTCAGACATACTAGACTACTCTGTACCCTAGTCTTTTTTTTTTTAGTTTTCATTTTGAGCAGGGTCTCATTAAATTGCTAGACTGGCTTTGAACTCAAGATCCTCCTGCCTTAGCCTTTCACCTTGCTGGGATTATAGGTATGTACTATATGTACTACCCTACATGGCCTTAACTCCTGTGTTTTTAAGATAATTGGAATTTTAGGTATTTACAGATGTATGATGTGTTAAGGTAAATCTTGCCAGTCATTGAACTTTACTGTAGGATGGTAGATTTGAAACCAAATTCTTCATTGGGTCCTCCAGGCCTTTTTCTTGGTCCATTTCTTTCTAAGAGCAATCTACAGTTTGCTGTATTTGAAATCTAAGACTGTGTGCAAGCATTCAGGGAACCAAGAAGCAGAAGGCAGCTAGGATCTTATCATTCATGATGTTCTTTTCAGTAGTACCCCTTCCATCTCTTGAGCCTTGTGCCTGGTATACCAAAGACTGGATCTTTTCTTATTTAATACCTCTTTAGAGTGAACCTCTGTGGGATAAATCTTCTAGCATGGATGAGTGAATAGCTTGGCAAACCTCCCCTTTCCCCAAAAAATCCTTAATTACACAAAATTCTCAAAAACAACCATTTAAAGAATGCAAATTTACCAAAGGCATACAATAATTGGATGTTTACTTGCAGAAATCTAGTCAGTATGGTTAAAAACTGTGAAAATGTGTTGTGTTTTGGTCTGCTCCATTTGCCTTACCAACCCCTCAGATCCATTGTTTCAGGGTTCTATCTGGGCTGTGGGGCCAGAAGGAAATTTTTAATGCCCAGGGGCATTAAAAATCCCAGAGATAGCCAGAAAAGGCCAACATTGCAGTTAGTCTGAAGTCTGGATACTGGTTAGGGCAAGCAGTAGACCAGCAAATCAGCCAGTAATTTAATAAGGAGATCCAGGGAATGAAGACAACCAGGAAGCACCTTAATAAGCTGCTCTATATCTTGGATGTTAAGAAGGTCATACCTATATGCAAGGTCACATATACAATGCAAAGACCTAAGAGGGCCCTAGCAAACTGTTGGCAGAACATGAGGCTTTCTGAAGCCAGAACATGTAAATGCACTTCAATTTTGTATTCTCCAAGCCACACAGATCCATTTACAGAGTAGAAATCTTGATAGCTCACCAATCTTATGCTGACCCAAGGGTAATCCCTAGGAAGCAAGGCTTAAAAATAAAAACAAAAATTAGAAAGAAAAAGCCCTGAACAGAGATCATCCTCCTCGTATACTATAGGAAAACAGTCTGCAGAATGAGTTCACATAAGTCACAAATGAAAATAAAACCAGCCTCAACAGGCTGGGGATGTGGCTCAAGTGGTAGCACGCTCGCGTGGCATGCGTGCGGCCCCGGTTCAATCCTCAGCACCACATACAAACAAAGATGTTGTGTCCACCGAAAACTAAAAAATAAATATTAAAAAATTCTCTCTCTTCTCTCTCTCTCTCTTAAAAAAAAAACAAAACAGCCACAACTACTGTGGGCCTTTGTGTCTGTCAGTTCTACAACTTTGGATTTAACCAACTGCAGATTTAAAATATATATACATATGTATTTTATGTCTGTATTAAACATGTACAGACCTTTTTTGTTGTTGTTCATTCCAAATAGTATATTATAATAAGTATTTACCTAGCACTTACATTGTTTCAGGTAATATAAGTAATCTAGAGATGATTCAAAGAGAGGATGTATGTAGATTATATGCAAATAATAAGCCATTTTACATAAAGGATGAGTGTATAGGGATTTTGTTATCCCCTGGGAGTCCTGGAACCAGTCCATCAGAAATATTAAGGGACAGTTTTACTTTTCTTGGGATGGAAATATCAAAATCCATGGTTGTTACTGTTGTCTTAAATAGTGTTCATCCAAAAATTGTGAGGCATTCAAAGTAATGGGAAAGTCTGGGCCCATGCATAGGTGACTGTGTCTGTGGGAACTTAGCTATTAGATTTAGTAAAAAAATAAAAGTTACAAATATGTTCAAAGAATTAAAGAAAACCTTGTTTAAAGAATTTACAGGGGGCTGGGAATATAGCTCAGTAGGTAGAGTGCTTGCCTTGCATTCACACTGCCCTGGGTTCAATCCCCAGCACCACCAAAATAATAATAATAATATACAGAGGCTGGGGTTGTAGCTTAGTGATGGAACACTTGCCTAGCATGTGTGAGGCATTGGGTTCACTCCTCAGCACCACATACAAATAAATAAAATAAGGGTATTGTGTTTATCTACAACTGAGAAAATACATATTTTTTAAAAAAGATTTACAGAAAGCTTGATAGTAGTGGTTCATCACACAGAACTTTGGGATACCATCAGGCTTACTAATAACAAAAGTCCCAGGAGGAGAGGAAAGGAGGAGGTTTGAAGAAAACATCCTATAGTTATGGAAAATCTCTATACATCCAAGAAGCTAAATGGACTCCAGGAGGGATAGATGCAAAGAGCTACAACTAGACTTATCTTGGTGTTTTGCCTGGGAGAGCTATGGCTTGTCACCTGGCTGTGTGGATAGAAGTCTGGAAGTTATCTTTGCTTAGAAAGAGTGAAGATTTTGAATCCCTCCGTTTATGCTCTCAGTTTATGCCACCAATTTCTGAGCTTTTCTGGGTTTCTGCAGGAATTAGGCCATTTCTAGTTTGCTCTCCCTACTTTACACTTCGGGTTCAAACTTTCCCCACTCTGTCAAAGCACTTGCCACCTGTAAGTCTGCTGTTTCCTAGAATTTTGTTGAAATCTCTTGCCTCTAAATCTTCTTTCCTCTTTTTTTGCATTCAAGGGTTTATACTTTTAAAAAGTTCTTTTATTGTCATTTAGATGGGATTTCAGGAGGTGATAGTGATAACACTTTGGATTCATTCTGCCAGATTTAACTGGAAGTTCTTTCTCATGTACCTTCCAGGCTCTCAGTTAAGTTGGTTGTTTTGTTAGTCGCTTGCTGTGAAAGATAGCATGGTATAGTGGAAACACCATTCGACTTGAAATTAGTCAACTTTACTCTGTCTCAGGTACTATAATAAGCAAGCATTTTATATTGGTTTCCTCAACTGATCTTCACAATTACTTGAAAAATAGGCACCATTACTCACCTTTTTTTCTTAAATTTGGGGAAATGGATGTTTAAACAAATTGGGTAGCAGCCAAAAAGCTAGCTTGTGCAGGAGTTGATATTTAAACCAGGTAGCCTAACCCAAGATTCTATAGATACACTATTGTTTTAAACTGCCATCCCTGTCATCATTGCAACTTTTTTTTTTTTTTCTGGTAGCAGGGATTGAACTCAAGGGCACTCAACTACTACTGAGCCACATCCCCAGCTCTAGTTGCTTAGGGCCTTGTTAAGTTCTGAGGCTGGCTTTGAACTCGATCCTCCTGCCTTAGCCTCCTGAGCCACTGGGATTACAGTCATGTGCCACCACGCCTGGCCACTGCAACTCTCTTATAGGAGTAAAACAAGCATTGATTTTTGATTGCTTTTCAAATCATAGATTGCCAAAATGTATATGAGACAAGAACCTTGATAAATTCCTCAGTGGAGGAATTTCAAAAATTGTAACAATGATGCCTCTTTTCTTCATTTTTTAATATTTTATATATTTTTTAGTTTTAGGTGGACACAGTGTCTTTTATTTTTTATTTTTATGTGGTGCTAAGGATCGAACCTAGTGCCTCATGCATGGTAGGCAAGCGCTCTACCACTGAGCCACAACCCCCCACCCCCACCCTGCCGTTGATGCCTCTTTTCATGTTGCTGCTTCTATTGCTGCTTCAGTCTTTCTTTTTGGATACTGAACACATTTTCTCTTCATTGCCCATTTTATCCTTTACCATTCCCATGGAACCAGACAGGAAAAAATACAGATATTTTTATGCAGTAATTCACATAAAACATGATCAGCCTTCAGACAGGTAAAAGGAAGTAGCAATCTTGAGCAGAATTAACACATCTAGATGGTTAGTTTAACTATAGTTCTGTTTAAAAGGAAACTAGCAAAGTTAAATTGCTTATTGTTAGAAGTGCTAAATGGGCGCTTAACTAAAACATTGAAATGTTGACTTAAATAATCTTATAATTACTACATTATATAATGTGTCTGTTTATGGCTATAATAAACAAATTTTAATATTTTAAGTATTAAGTGAAAATTTTACTTTGTTTTGAGTGACAACTTTTTTAAACTTAGCAGTTTCAAATAAAAGTCTTTATTCCTGAGAGGAATAGAGATGGATAGGAAGCCATGATTTCACTCTAAAGAGATTGGCAGTTAAGAGTTTTAGCCACAGATTTCCCCAACCTAATTTAAGATAATTAAATAGCTGTTGATAATCTTGAGTATAATAATTGTCAGTTTTTCTCTAGCAATCCCAAAATACATTATTGAAAAAAATTAACAGGGAATTTGGCTCTTACTGCTTGGGTGCATGTGCTGCTTTGAGGAGGTAAGTTAACATACTAGTAGCCATGAACTTGGCTTGAAGCTTAACCCTCTTCAGGCAAAAGTAGAATTAAAGGACTGAATATGATTGTGCCAGCCTCCCAGCAGCAGTGTTCTGTGTTTTCCTGTAGATTGGATCAATCTCAGAGATGGGCCCATCACCATATCTGACTCCTCTGATGAGGAAGGGATTCCAATGCTGGTCACCCCAGTTCCTCAGCAACAGGAGGAAGAAGACCTGGATGATGATGTCATCCTGACAGAGGTGAGTTTTTTAAAACTTAACCATGATATGAGGCATTATTGCAAATTAGTGGTCTGAATTCTTATGCCATTCTCTGGGTCTTGTAGAATAATTGAGAGCACCTCTTTGCACTTTCTTAGATTTCCGAGAACAGCCCCCTTTCCAAACTCTACTTATGTCCCCTTACTTTTGAAAGCTATATGTTTGGGTCTGTTTCTGTAGTTAACTTCTCCACCCTTGCTCCCTCTGAATGTTCATGCACTAGTCTGCACTGTTTTGTGATTATACATTATGTAAGGTTTTTACTGTCATGCAGAGCTTTTCTCCCCTTATTACCATAGTTTCAGAGTCATTCTGGATATTCTTGTGCTTATGTTTTTATGATCAGGTTTTCTAGTTCTAAAATATAGGTAAATAGGCAAATAGATAATCAGTCTGTCTGAATGAAAAAGTTTTGTCTTCCATATAGTGTAGCCATCTTTTGTATTCTTCCAGCAGAGCATTTTGAGTTTTTCTTAATACAGATCTCAGACACTCTTTATTATTTATTCCTGGTCATTTTCTCCTTTTTGTTGCTTTTACATCTTCCATTATACCTTTTTGAACTTTTTAAAATTTTAAAATTTTTTACTTTTTATATTAATTTCATACCTTTATTGTCCATAGTCAGTTGACTTAACGTGAATCTGCATCTCATCTATTTGCAAATAATGATACTTAAAAGAGTTTCTGGTTTTTCCATTTTTATACTTCTTTCTTGTCTAATGTATTGTAATACTTTCTCAAATTTTTTAAGTAGCAGTGGTGATAGGATTAGCCATGGATATGAATGCCTTTTAATATTTTTAATATTTCCTCCTTGAATGTGACAGTGCCTTTTTGCTTTAGATACTATTTAAAAAAAAATTATGTCAAGGAAATAGTCATTTACTTCCACTTTATTTCAAGTATTTTCTATAAATGAATGTAAAATTCTGTCAAATTGAATTTCAGTATATTTGAAGGGTATCATGTGATTTCTTTTTTGATCTATTGATATAGTAAATTATTCTGTCACTGGAGAAACTTCACTTAATTATGGTATTGAAACATGATGGTAATATACTAGATGAATTCCATTTGCTAATGTTTTATTTGGGGTTTTCTCATCTTATAAGTGAGATTGATCCATAGGTTTGAGTATATGTACCTGTGTACTCTTTTACAACTTTTTTTTTTGGGTGGGGGGGAATGCATGGTGGTGGTCAAACCCAAGGCCTCACATATGAGAGAAAAAGCTCTACCACTGAGCTACATTTTTAAAAAATATTTTTTTAAGACAGAGTCTCGCAAAATTACCAGGCTGGCCTGAGCTTGGCTGCTTTCCTGCTTTAGTGTTCTGAGTAGCTAGGATTACAGGTGTGCCATTATAATGCCTTAACTTTTTTTTAATAAACATGATCCTACTTGTGAAAAGAATGTTGTTTAAACTTGTTTGTGGTTTAAAGTGTATTTAATAGAATTAAACGCTTTCCCTTTCTATTTAATATATTTGTTTTTCCTCCTTTTGTTTTCTCACCATTATTTTTCCTTCCTTTTTTCTTCCTTCTTTACCAAAGAAATAGCTTTGAGATTTATCTTACAGTGCAGCTGTTTGTTTTCTTAATTTCTACTTTTTTTTAATTTTATTTTTTGAGAGAGAATTTTAATATTTATTTTTTAGTTTTCGGAGGACACAACATCTTTGTTTGTATGTGGTGCTGAGGATCGAACCCAGGCCGCACACATGCCAGGCGAGCACGCTACCGCTTGAGCCACATTCCCAGCCCCTCTACTTTTGTTTTTAGTAATTTTTCTTCTGCTTAAGCTTATTTAACATTGTTTTTAGTGTTCATTTTATGGTCCTTTTACTAGTTTCGTGGGTAATTCATTCTTTTTTTTTTTAATTTTATTGTTCTGGTTACTTATTACCATGTAACTTATCACCTCAAAACAATGATTTATATCAATTACAGTCATTTTATTAGCTCACATAACTTTTGTGGAACAGGAATATGAGGTCAGCTGGATAATTCTGGCTGGGGGCTCTTGTTTGGCTGTGTGTCAGATGGTTGCTGGAGCTAGAGTAGTCAGGGACTGGGGCAGATGAACACGGGCAGGCATCACTGTCTGTTAGGGCCAGCCCATGTGATCTCTCTTTTTAACAACTTCATTGAGATATAACTTATATACAAGACCATTCATTTAAATTGTGTAATTCAGTGGTTTTAGCATACGAATGTTCAGAGTTGTGTAACCCTCACATGATCAATTTTAGAACATATATATCACACTAAAAAGACATTCTCTTACTGTTAGCAGTAACTGTTTTCTCCCAAATTGTGCCCACAACTCCCCAATCTGTGCAAACCTATGCAGTTTGCTTTCTATCTCTATAATTTGCCTATCATGGAAATTGCATATAAATGGAATCATACAATACATAGTCTTTTATGAGTGGCTCTTTATGCAGCATATTTTTAAACTTTATCCATGTTACAGTATATATCATCCTTAATTCCATTTTTAAAAGCAGCCTTTATTGAGTTACATTTCATATACTATGCAATTTCTCTATTTAAATCATGTGATTCAATAGGTTTTAGTAGAAGCACATAGTTTTGCATCTATCACCATAGGCACTCTTAGAACATTTTCATTACCCCATGAAAAAATCCTATACCTCCCAATCCCTTGTTCTGTCCTATCATAATCAACCATTAATGTACCTTCTGTGTTCATTGCCTATTTTATTATTATGTGGTCCTTTGTGGCCATCTTCTTTAACTAACTAAGAATGTTTTCAAGGGTTAGCTGTGATGTAGCATGAATTAGTATTTTATTTGTTGATGAACAGTATTCCATTTCTTTGCTTTACTTTTGTTTATCTTCTCATTGTCTGATTGACAGTTTTGGCTCTTATGAGTATGAATCATGTTGCTGTGAACATGCACATTACAAGTTTGTATGTGGACATATTTTTCATTTCTGTTGGCATATACCGAGAATTGCTGGATCATATGGTAACTATATTTAACCCCTACCAGATTTGTGGCCATTGATGTTAAGCAGCATCCTTTGACTTAGTTTTAGGTTTACTGGCCATTTTTGTATCTTTGTATTTTCAGAGAAATATCTGTGAAGACCTTTTGTATTTTATTTATTTTAATATTTTTTAGTTGTTGATGGACCTTTATTTTATTTATTTGTATGTGGTGCTGAGAATCAAACCCAGTGCATCACGCGTGCTAGGCAAGTATGCTACCACTGAGCCATAACCCTAGCCCTGTTTTTTTAATCAGGAATTGAACACAGTGGCACTTGACCACTGAGCCACATCTAACCCTATTTTGTATTTTATTTAGACACAGGGTCTCACTGAGTTGCTTAGTACCTCACTTCAGCTAAGGGTAGCTTTGAACCCTCGATCCTTCTGCCACACCCTCCCCAGTCATTGGGATTACAGGTGTGTGCCACCGCACCCAGCCCATGCCTACTTATTTTTGATAGTAAGTCATTGTATATGAATATTTTGAAATTATAGATTACGTTTTCTTTCTCCACAGAGGATCTACACTTATTTCTTGAAGAAGATTAAGGGTACAGGAAATCTCACATTGAGGGACATTTTTGTTTGTGTATTTTTGCTTTTTAACTTTATTTATTTATTTATTTATTTTTTTATGTAGTGCTGAGGATCAAACCCAGTGCCTCAAACATATTAGGCAAGTGCTTTACCACTGAGCCACAACCCCAACCCCCACTGAGGGAGTTTTAAAACTATCCACACTAGGATTCATTTTCTGGGAGGTCTAATGTATTTCTAGTATACCCTTACTTCAGTGTATAATTCTCAAGAACTTACCATATAGCTTGAGATTTACCAAGACCTTTTTTAGGGGATTGGGGGGGGGCGGTTCCTGTATTATGATTTTTATGCCCTTAGCTCCTCAGTAAGTGTATCAAAGTTTCTATTCATCTATTGATAATTCATCCAAGTCTGGGATTGACAGATGCATGTTTTGGGAACAAGTACCCCAAATGTAGGGGCCCATTTTGCTGGATTTCCTCTTCCTGGATCTTGATTCCCCTATCTCTCTGGAAGTCTTCAGGCAGCTGTTTTTGTTTTGCTTTGATTTGTTTCAATTTTCTGACAAGGTTTTCTACTTTTACTCAGTAGAAGGGTTAATCCTGGTAATGCATCTGCAATTACAGGAGCCAGAAATCTCCTCTTAGATCTTTATTCAAACTTTTTGAGTCACTGTGCTCTCAGTACTTCTTGATTATATAGTTAAGTACTTGGATTTTTTCTTGTAGTTCTGTTTAAAGAATCTTTGAAGTTGGTGGGAGGATCCTATTTACTTTAATAAATAGTGCCAAAATTGCTCTCCTAAATACTAGTAGTCATTGATAGTATGAGAGTTTTTGTATATCCACATCAGTGCTTTATACTATCTAAAAGTCTAATTGGGAAATTTTTTCTTGTTTTTATTTTTGTTCTCCTGATTACTAATGAAATTTATATTCTTTTCATGTTAATTGAACAACTTTGGTGTCTCTGCTGTGTTGGCATTCTTTCATTAAACTGATGCTTCACATCTATAAATGGCTACTTTCATTTTGACAAACTGTAAAGTGTTATACTGCAGTGTTAAGAATAACACTGGGGGGAGGACATTTTTGGTTTCCCTTTCTTTCCTGTTCTTTTGCAGAAGCTTAGTATAAGCACATATGGAGGCATAGACATAGAAAATAAATTGGATTATTATTATTATTATTATTATTATTATTATTAAAATTTCATTTTTTCTTAGACAAATAAACCTCAGACATCACGACCCAATCTCATCAAACCAGCTGCCCAGTGGCAAGATCTGAAAAGATTGGGAGAAGAAAGACCTAAAAAGTCTAGAGCAGCCTTTGAATCAGATAAGCGCAGCTACTTTTCAATGTGTAACTACTCGTTGTTTGATTCTGGGACACAGGATGATTCTGAGGATGACTACGGTGAATTTCTGGATCTTGGGCCTCCTGGTGTCTCTGAATTCACTAAGCAAACTCACCAAACAAAAAGAGAACCCAAACCTGGACCAAGTCATAACCAAGGAGCAAATGACATCAATCCTAAATCTGAACCAAAAATTATTATCTTGGGAAAAAGTGGCCTTCTTTTCCCAGAAAATGATCCTTTGGAAGCTCAGAACCAGTCATCTGAAGACTCAGAGACAGAGCTTTTATCAAATCTTGGAGAATCGTCTGCTTTAGTAAATGATCAGGCCATTGAAGAAGACTGTTGGATAGACCATCCTTACTTCCAGTCTCTAAACCAGCAGCCCCGTGAGAGAACAAATCAGGTTGTTCCCCAGGAGCGGCAGCCTGAAGCAGAACTGGGCCCCTTGTTATTTCAACATGAACTCCCAGGGCCAGCTTTTCCAAGACCAGAAGGCCAGCAGGATGGGATTCCAGGCTCTGCTTCTCCTCAGCCTGCCCATCCTCTAGGAGAGCTTGAAGACCAACAGTTAGCGACTGATGATGAAGAGCCAGGGCCAGCATTTCCCCTACCAGGATCTCAGGAGGCCAAATTGGAAAACCTCTGGGGGCAAGATACTGCTGAGGTAGATCAAGACCTTGTTGCACTGTTAGTGAAAGAAACAGTAAGTAGTTGTTGTTGTTGTTATTATTATAAAAATGTAGGCATTAAATATTGCTGAGTTTTCTTTCATTCAAAAAAAGAAAAATGTGGACTTTATTTTCATAAGAAGTACATATATCTCAATGTATAGAAAAAAAATAAACTGAAGAAATGAAAATGGAATCAGAATTCCTTAATCTATACTTAATCTTCAGGAAGCCTTCTGGGGTGGTAGCTACATACCACGGTGTTGCAATACTGCAAATCCCTGTTTTTCAAAGGCCTCGAGTTCACTCTAGATTCAAACCTTTAAAGCAAATTTATTGAATTTCCTAGACCCATGCTGTCCAGTATGACAGCATGTACCCCCAATTATATGTAAACTCCCAGATGTTTATGTTTACATGTCTTACAATTAAATAAAATTATAAATTAGTTTCCAGTGGCTGGGTCACATTTTAGTGTTAGTAGTCATGTGGGGCTCACAGCAAACAAAATATGTTTTCATCATCACGGTAGTTCTGTTGGACAGAACCACTATGAAGAGTAATGTAGGCCTTTTATGTCTTTAGTCAGCTGCTTTTTGCCTTTGATGAAGTCCCCATCTCTCCTTCTTCATCCAGGGTTTTTCCATCTGGCTTACTATGTGTGAGCCTCTTGAGGGCAGGCATGGGATTTTTATCTCATTTGTCTTTGGGTTCCTTTTGCCTGGGTACTGGTACTCAGTATGTTTTATTAATGAATGGGTGTGCAAAATGAGACCATGGGCCAAATGTAGGACTCCTCTAGACTTCATCTTCTGTGTATTCTGATGAACCTGGGAACCCAGTGCTTAATTTTAAGCCACATACAGAACTGCTTTACAGCCCCTTTTTTAAAAAGCCCTTAGTGATTCATTTTTACACTTATTACCATTGGGTTTTAATTGCCATTTATTTCTAGTGAATGAAATATAGTATTCTTATTTCCTTCACAGGAAGCAAGATTTCCAGATGTAGCAAATGGGTATATTGAAGAAATAATTCACTTGAAGAATTATTATGATTTGAATGTGTAAGTATACCACCCTGCTGCATTTTTAAGTGTACAGTTCAGTACATTAAGTAGATAATCATGCATCAGTCACTACCAACTATCTGCAGAACTCTTTTTTTTAATCTTTCCAGATTAAAACCTTGCACCCATTAAACAGTGACTCCATGTCCTCTTCTTTCCCAGTCCTTAGTATCTATCATTCTTTCTGTCTTAAGGAATTTAACTACTCTAGACCTGTCATATAAATGGAATCATACAGTATTTGTCCTTTTCCAACAGGCTCATTTCACTTAGCACTATATCTTTTAATGATGGTAATTCTAACATTAGTCATATACAGACTGTTCTCTGGTTATTGGAGAATCCTGATTATGTAATTATGATACCTGATTGTTCCTGAGCACTCACTGCTGGTGCTTTGATCATGATGTTTAAAGTTGTTTTCTTCCCTACAATAGTAACAGAAAATGTTTTGCAACCAATCTGCCTATAAATGCATGGGAAAAGTGTCCTGAAGAAAATAAAATGAAAAATAAGTCTATTTATTCTTTAGTTCTTTGTCTTCCTTCTAGTGTACCAAAGGGAAAGAGTTGCATATTTATTTTTTGTTTGTTTACTTTGGTGTGGGGGATTGAACCCAAAGGCTCTTTAACCCTGAGCTATTTCCCTAGCCGTCTTTTTTTTGGAGACAGGGTGTCACTAAGTTGCTTGGGTTATGCTGAGTTGCTGAGGCTGACCTTAAAATTGTGATTCTCCTACCTCAGCCTCCCGAGTTAGTGGGGTTACAGCTATACACCACCACACTAGGTTATAAATTTATAAAGAAATGTTGAATATTGAAGGTTAATCAAATTTTCAAAGAATTAATGTAGTTTTTTTTTTTTTTAAACAAAAGAAGAAGTAGTATATTAAAACCCCTGTCCTCAAAAGCCAAGTCTTCTGTGGTTCTCAGCCAAGGGTACAAGTGGGCTGTTCACCTCAGCTCCTTTTTTCTTATTTGTACAGCAACAGGTCGATGCCAGTAGTGGCCTTGCATAATTCTACCTTTGTCTCTTCCAGAGGTAGCAAGTTGCCAAGTTTTAAACCAGGATTGGATTAGGATTTCTTAATCTATTTATCTTCTTAATTAATAGTAGGCCCTACTTGTATGTTATTTTTTTTTTAAATTCTCTCTCTCTTTTAAAGAGAGAGAATTTTTTAATATTTATTTTTTAGTTCTCGGCGGATACAACATCTTTGTTTGTATGTGGTGCTGAGGATCGAACCCGGGTCGCACGCATGCCAGGCGAGCGCGCTACCGCTTGAGCCACATCCCCAGCCCCTGTATGTTATTTTTAATATCACTCATTCCCCCCACATACATCATTTTTTACCATAAAAAATTGGTGAATACCCATATATTTACCACTTATATTATTATCTTGTATTCTGCTGTAAAGGTGATTTTTTTCGTTTTACTTCTTGCTATTTTTTTTCTAAATAACTATGAATTTAAGGAGTTTTAGGTCATGGTTTAGAAACAATTACAGTCATTTTCTTAATACTGAAATTGTTTCATTTTTAACCGAGAGAGTTTCTTAAGATGCAGCTATATCTTTTTGGTGTGAACTCATTAGACTCTGAGCACTTCCTTAGTTCCTCAGATAATATCATAGTGCCCTAGACTTGCCTTGAACTTCTTCTGCCTCAAACCTGAAATCTCTCAGTCTCTTAGAAACCCTAAGTTTTTAGAATGAGGATTGAGATTTATAAACTAAGATCTCAGAATCGCTATCATTCTGTGTAGTCCTTTCACTTTCACTTGGGTTCGAAAAGGAGCTAGAGGTAAGCGCTTATTCTCTCTCATTTTCCTGCTAGACCTATCTATCTTAGAGGACCCACAATTGACATTGGACGAAAGAAGTGAGAACAAGGCTATTGGGAAGGAATTAGGGGTTGAGCACCCAGATGAAGATGGGTTACCCTATACATCATCAGGATTGAGGAAAAAGAAGGATAGAGAAGAGGGGAAGCCACAATTGCCCTACAAGCAAAGATGCTTTCTTGCTTCTAAACCCTACCCTGGCTGTGGGTTCATACCTAGTACAGTCTGATCGTCCTGCTAATGGATGAAGAGCTTGGATAGTTAACTTTTTCATACTTTTCTTGATGAAGAATAGCTACTTTAGGCCCGAAGCTATAGCTCAGTGACAGAAAACTTGCCTGGCACGTATGAGGCACTGGGTTCGATTTTTAGCACCACATAAAAATAAACAAAATAAAAGCATGCTGTCCATCTACAACTACAAAAAAAATAAAGTAATATCTACTTTTCTTCTAAATGCCCCAATTTGACACTGTTTAACCATCAGTAATTTCAGTGACTTCCTTGCATTGACACCCAACTAATGGGTAAATTTCAGAGATGCTTGCGTTTATCAGGATGTTCATTGTTTTGTAAACTAGCAAGCAAAAAAGAAATTCATTGTAATTATTTTTGTTTATTATTTGTTTAGTTTTTCTGGCTGTAAACATCTTGATTATTTGATGGGCCAGTTGTCCTTTATTTTCAAATACTACATTTCAATTAGTGGGCATAGTGTGGGGCTAGAAGCAGTATGAAAGTAACATCATGTGTTTTTGCAGACTTTGTAATTTTCTTCTGGAAAATCCAGATTATCCAAAGAGAGAAGATAGAATCATTATGAACCCCAGCAGCAGTCTGCTCGCCAGCCAGGATGATACAAAGGCAAGTGTCCTATGTGAGTTTTGCCATTTCTACTTGAAAATGCTGTGCCTTTTTCTTTATTCTCATAGGAAGAAAGATTTTTGTGTGGACATATTTTTAAAGACTGAACTATTTTCCCTAAGATAGGATCTCACATTGTACCAGTACTTTGGAATCTCTCACCCTGAGCCATTTTGAATTCCTCTAATTATTCCTTTAATCTTTCCTTTTCCACAAAAAGTTAAGCAAATCCTTCCTATCTTTAATCCTACAGAGGAAATTCCTTAACATGGAACAAGAATTGGCCAGGATTGTTTGTTTTGTTATACTAGTATTATTTTAAGCATTTTATTATGAACATTTTCAGACACACTGAAAAGCTAAAATATTTTACATTAATCACCTGTATTCCCAACAGTGTTGCTACTAAAAAGTTAACATTTTATTAATCATTGTCTTTGTGATCTAAACCAGCTTTCAGTATTTTGAATCATGGAGGAAACTATAGTTCAAACCAATGCATTAAGCTCTAGTGATTGGTCGTCTGTTCCCCACAGTTTCATTTGACTCTTTTCCATGTTCTGAAGTAGGAAAAAAAAAAATTTGATTTTTTTTTTTTTTTCTTCCCTCTAAACATTTTATGGGAGGAAGATGGCTGAAAGATTGGGTTCAAATCTCTAGCTGTATCTTACTCTAACTAGTATCTGGACTAGTTTAAGATCTCTGATCCACCATTTCTTCATCTCTGTTATGGAGCTGATAAACCCCCTCATAGAGTAATTATGAGAAAAATGAGATTTTTCTTTTCTGTAACAGGTAATTCTTAAAATGATTTCTCTTTCATTAGGAAATGCACTATCTGGCCTCTAATTTTGTGCTTCTCTCTCGTTTCAGTTGCCTAAAATAGACTTTTTTGACTATTCCAAATTGACTCCTCTTGACCAGCGCTGCTTCATCCAAGCTGCAGACCTCCTGATGGCCGATTTCAAAATGCTCAGCAGTCAGGACATTAAGTGGGCCCTGCATGAGCTCAAAGGACACTATGCAATCACTCGAAAGGTACTCTACTTGATCTTCCTGTTGGTGTCATAACCTTTTGGCTACATTTCTTGTGATAAAGAAATGAAGAACTCAGCTTGGCAGAAATTGAGATGGTTTATCATGCAGAGAGCTAAGAAGTGTGTCAGGGTAAAGATAAATAGGCAAAGATATTTATTTATCAGAAAGAATTATTAGAGTAAAAGCAGGTAGGTTTCAATTTGACCATGAAGACTAGAGGTTGATATACTTTATTGTGGACTGCAGGATGAAATATGAAGGGCATGCTGACCCGGCTACTGCCTCATTTGCTTTGACTTGGGACAGGTCACACAATCATCCTCCAGGTGTCTCAGTGGTGTCAGGAACACAGTGGTGTCCAGTGACAGTGGTTTGCCTCAGGAGAGAGTAGGCAGCTCCTAAAAATTCCCAGTACTTTTCCTGAGGATTCCAAAGGAAATATCATGTGAAGACCTGTGCTCCAGGACTTAGGTTCTGGTGTCTGGTAGGTAGCACAGACACTCATTTAAATGAGAAGCATATTGCACAGTGCCCATTCCATTGCATTGATCATTTGGGATAGGATAAGCACCAATAACATCCCTAGTTTACTCCTTTTGTTCCCCTTGCTATAATTAAATCCTGTTCTGCCGGTGTGCTTGTAATTCCCTGAAAACGTGGGCTTCCCAGGAGCCAAACATGGAGTTATTTTAATGGTTAAGATATCCACAGGGTGCTGGGCTCCATAGTGCACACCTGTAAGCCCAGCTAGGGCGAGGCAGGAGGATCACAAGTTTCAGGCAAGCCTGGACAACTTAGTGAGATCCTGCCTCAAAATTTAAAAAATAAGCAAAAAGATTGAGTACTGCTAGATTAAAACCTGGTGCTGGGGGATGGAGGTGGGATAGAAGGGATGACAGTTTAGAGCATCTTGCTATATTAGAATGATGCATGAGAGTTCTGCACTGAAGACAGTGACTGCTCTGTGGGAAGGAGAATAGAAGGTAGACCCAAAGACATTCTTATATAATACTAATAGTACTGCTTCTCTTTGCCACTCCCAAAAGTGATCACTCAGGAATTTATGTTCACTGTAGAGACCAGGTCACATTTCCCTGGGCTTGTTTGTAATTCTTTATTATAAACATCATAGACTTACATGTGTACTTTTACATAAGTAAAGATTCTGGGCTGGGGCTGTGACTCAGTGGTAGTGCACTCATCTGGAGTGTATGAAGCACTGTTTTTGATCCTCAGCACCACATATAAATAAATAAATAAACTTATTGTGTCCATCTACAACTAAAAACAAATTTAAATAAATAAATAAAAGTTTAATGACGAGCCCCCATTTACCTATCACTTGTTTTTGGTAATCCTCAATTCATTCTCAGTTTTGTTTCATCTCTACCCCTGGCTATTTTCCTCCTCAAGATAATTTTGAAGCAAATTTCAAACATCTTTTTTTTTTTCCACAAGTATTTCAGTGTTCAAAAAGGTAAAGATTCTTTTTCTTTTTTATTTTATTTTTTTCCTTTTTTTTTTCTTTTTTTTTT